TCCTTATTTCCAGTTGGATTCTGTTAAACCACTCAAGTAAAATTAATTTCACGTAGCCTACATTTTATTGGTTGTTCAAGAAAACATTTAAAAATGATAAATCAAGATTATGAACGCCGGCTTCTTCAGCAAACTGAAAAGGCTTGTTGGAGTCCATCAATGTCTCCAGTTAAAACACCAACCAAAGAGAGCTGCAGCTACATGGATAGAGTAAGTAAAATCCTTGATCTTTGTTGAAAAATTTGATGAACAGAAACAGGATTTTCCGACTAGAATATCAGAGAGCCCTGTGTAACTGTGTTTACTTTATATCTAGATTGGGACTCCACCTCCTTTTTCGCCCCCACCATTTTCCTCTCCGCAGTTTGGCTCACCATCTCGGGGGCCAACAAATGGTGACAGATTCATACCAGCACGTGCAGGCAACAATTGGCAAACACAGTTTGCCATGATAGCTGTAAGTTGTGCAGTCTCTTTAAAAATTTTGAACTAAGGTAAAATGAATTAATTGTTTCTAATTAACCCTTGCTATTCTATAAAATCTAGGACAATTCACCTGGGAAAAAGTTACGCGAGAATAGTGATGCCTCAAGAGAAAATCGGGAATGCAGAGACAGTGCTGCTTATGTTTGTTTGTTAAAAAATGAACTGTTGCAAGCTGGCATTGAAGACATGAAAGGACAGACTGATGACCGTCGAGCTCTTGCCCCACTTCATGGAGGAAACCTATTTCAATATTCAACACCAACAAAGCGCCACAATTTCACTTCGCCGTACTCTATTTCTCCTGTCAGTGCCCGAAGTCAAAAACTACTCAGATCACCTCGCAAAGCAACACGCAAGATATCAAGAATACCATTTAAGGTGCAGTAACATCCGTTAAGCTTACGCTAATAATTTTAACTTTTATAATTGTCTTTCTACATTATTTTTTTTCTTTACTTTGTAGGTTTTGGATGCGCCAGAGCTTGGAGATGATTTTTATTTGAATCTTGTTGACTGGTCTGGCCTTAATATTTTAAGTGTGGGTTTGGGAACATGTGTTTACTTATGGAGTGCTTGTACAAGTCAAGTTACCCGTCTTTGTGACCTGTCAGGGGACTCAAACTCTGTTACATCTGTAGCTTGGAATGAAAGGGTAAGTTTTAATGAGTCTATTTTATTAATTTTTTCAATTTTACACATTCCCTTGTGGCTGTCTGTACCCAAAGGCAAAAGTTTCCTATTTTGATTAAGATTGCTGGTATCGGTTCCAGTTTCGATAAACATTGCTGATTAACGTTCCAGTTTTGTTAAGCCAATTGCTATACTATTCCGTGTGGGGCGGGGAGGCACGGTCTTCCATATCTCTTCTCTCCCTTCCAGTCGTGTGCGGTTGCAGAAAGCTGTCATCGCTCTGCTCCTTGTATTTAAACAGCACCCATGATAACACGCCACACACTTAATGTACCCGACCAATGTGTCGTTGACCCCCGGCTCCTCCACCCATTCTTGGTACCGGAACAGGCGAACAGGCCACTTAAAAAGTGAACCTTAGTCCCCAATTTCTTTCTATTTTATTGACAGCTCTTTGAAACATTAATGTGGACTTGTTTCCAGAACATTAAAATTATGAATATGGCAAAATTTGAATGGTAGCTCTATCATTATATTCTGATCCTTTTTTGGATGATCGTATTTATTTTACCTTATTTTGTTTCTTAGGGAAACCTTGTAGCAGTTGGGACACATCTGGGATATGTACAAATCTGGGATACTGCTGTCAGCAAGATGGTCAACAAACTGCAAGGTCATTCTTCCCGTGTTGGAGCTTTGGCTTGGAATGGAGATACTCTTGTGTCAGGAAGCAGAGATCGCCTTATTATGCAAAAAGATGTCAGAACCCCGTCCATTCTTCCAGAAAGAAGGCTTGTTGGTCACCGCCAAGAGGTAAGGTAGTCTGCAATTGTTATCTTCTGAGCATTGCTTAAAAAGTACAGATTGTTTTTTCTGTGTTAAGCTTACTCTTTTGCCCCTTTTTCCTTGTCCTTTACTTCTATTTCTACCTCCGTATTGGGTGTTGTGCATGGTGTATGAGTTAGGTCCTCTTTTCAGCTCAGAAACTACAACACCCACAGCCATACAAGTAAAACCAAATTGTAACTTCTTGTGAATTAACGAGTCTATTGTAGTGCTTTCGGTCAAATTTTAAAGACATGTCAGATATCAGAAATGAAACTTGATTTGATGAGTGCACCTTGCACCACGGTTGTTGCTTAGCATTTTTCTAAAACCTATATAATTGACAATTCATCATAAATGGCCTAAGCCAAATTTGTAAACTATACTGTATGGTACATAGGTTGTAATTACCAATTTTAACGAGAAGAGAACAATTTTATATGACAGTATATTGATGAACAGTAGAATATTGCATATTCCTATTACCAGGTGAAGCACATGCTAATACAACTCTATCTGTTGATGAACATTAATACTATAATGGCATTGACCAACATTCTCTCTGTTACACATGGCTCATAAGGATAAACTTCACTTATTTACACCATACAACATGTGCAGAATGAGTGTTTCTTAATTCTTTCTTAAGTACGATTTAATCTCTGACATCCTTTTGTTTTTATTATAATTACAGGTGTGTGGTTTAAAATGGTCTCCCGACAATCAGTATTTAGCTTCTGGTGGAAATGACAATCGTCTCTATGTTTGGAACCTCCATTCTCTTTCACCTGTTCAAACATACACAGAACACGTAGCTGCAGTTAAAGGTATGGATTTAATGTGTTAAATTATAGTTTCACCTTTTTGCTTTTTATTTTGATTGTTTGGTTGTGCTTTATCATCATACTTCAAAATCTGATCCTAAATTTTATTACCTTCAGCAATTGCTTGGTCTCCTCACCATCATGGGCTGTTAGCTAGTGGAGGAGGAACAGCTGACAGATGCATTCGTTTTTGGAATACATTGACAGGACAGCCAATGCAAAGTGTGGATACAAACAGCCAAGTTTGTAACCTTGCCTGGAGTAAACATTCCTCTGAACTTGTGAGTGATGAACCCGTCACACATTTGTAATCATATTTCACTTGCAATTAGTTTATTGACATCTTGTCTTCTTACTTTCAGGTAAGCACCCATGGTTATTCACAAAATCAAATTCTTGTGTGGAAATACCCAAGTCTTTCGCAAGTTGCGAAACTCACTGGTCACTCCACAAGAGTTCTATACCTTGCAATGTCTCCTGATGGGGAGGCCATTGTAACCGGAGCAGGTGATGAAACTCTACGATTTTGGAATGTTTTTAGCAAGACTAGATCTCAAAAGGTATGTTGTCAAATTCCTGTGTTCTATAAATTTACACTGGTAACTGTAATACATTTGTTTTTTTCAATAATTTTCAGGAAAACAAATCAGTTTTAAACTTATTTTCAAGTATTCGATGATTTCAAGAGCTCAGTAGCTTCCTGTTAAATAGTTATCATCAGAAGACAAAAGGACCAAATAATTTAAATTTGAGGAAAGTGATTAACAGTTTCTTCAGGATGCGTGTTCTAATATTGTTCAGAATTTATTGTAAAATTTATTTAATTCATTCAGTTCTAAACTTATTTATCTGTGTGTACAGCCTAGTGATGGAAAATGTGCAATAGTCTATTGAAGGAAATGCTTTGGCAAGTGGATCTATGTTCCTTTGGTAATAAGCTGGAGTCTAAACTGTTATGCTTTGCAGGACAAGACTTTCATTTAAAGATTTTAAAATCACTTTTGGTGAGACCTGCTCATGCCTACCACTTAACTTTTAAAATGTACTTAAATTGTCGTCATTGTCATTTATCTATTATTTTTCTGCCTTTATCTTACACCCATATCATTTGACTTAGAGAACATAGTACAAGCTAATCAGTTGGGTTGTCCCAAACATTTTCTATAGCTCTTTTTGTATGTCCTGCCTAGAAAATCAATCATGCTGTCCCTATCTCTAACATTTCTACTGGATTTTGCATTGACTTCACAATTTTTACTTTACAACCTTATCAGCTAGAGAATTTGGCATGTTTCTGTATTTTCAGATTTGTGGTGAAGGCCAAGCAAGCTTGGACCTTTATCAATCTGGTTATGCATCGTAACTTTCTGTTCTCCATTGCCACTCGTATGACCGGAAATAGTTAACTTTTTGTGATTTTATTTTTAAGTTTTAACAATTAGAAATGCATTTATTACTTATAGCATTTCAATTATTTAATTTTCTTTTAAAATGCGGTCTTAGATCTAAGTAAGCAGTTATGTAAAAATTCAAAATGGCTTGTGGTAAGTCACAAGCCAGTGAGGGTAATCAAGATACATCAGCAATTGTATTGTTTCTTTTTATTTGTTTTAAGACATTGTTTATTGTCTTTATTGTTTGTTTATTTCTTCATTCTTTCAATTGAATCTTTATTGAAGTTTTTTTTTTTAAATGGCAAATGTATGCATGTTAGGGTTTGTCACTCTCTTGTCCTTTTGACATCCATTATTTCTCATTTGGATGAGTATTTATTCAATTCTAAGTCCACCAATTTTATCTTATTTTGAAACAAAAAGGAGTGAGGCTTAAAATCAAGTGTCCATTTTTCAAAGGTTTTGTTGGAGTCTTTCTTGTGACTCCCCTTTAAAATTTGGGGCACAGATTTGTGTGCAGCATAGAATTGAATACATACACTAAGTCACAATAGAATTGGCAATCGAGCTGTGCATGATTTTATAAATAGAAAGGTTCTGTGATGTCCATTCGTCCATCTTATGCGATGATTGTGGACACATGCTAGTCATAATAGGTTTCCCTTTTTATTTGTTAGGAGTCTTGATGCTTTTTTGGTGCTGTGTACTGCATCTAGCTAATGCATCAATTCTATACCTGAACATACTCAAATGAATCATGCACAGTTGCTCTAACGTCAAAAATGTGTTTATACTGATTGTTAATGCAAATAAAGAATACATATGTAATGAAATTCATGTTTGTCTTTTGCTGTACCTTTCTTCCACACTGTCATAACTTAAACTAATCACATTAAATGAAGCAAGTACTGTAACTGAAACTCTTGTATTTCAGATCTCATAAATAAATTAAATACAATATTGCACTTGTGGAGTAAGGTTAAGAAAAAATATTCTTTTAAAGAAAAAGAAACATTAAGAATAACTGAATGCTTGCATTGTAGGTGATGGCCCACACTACACATGCAATGCTGTCTATGTTACGAGACATCTCAGAGCACTACAGGGAGTGGTAACAACGTTCAGTCACTAAACAATAATTTTGTACCGTATTTATTCGACTCTAGACTGCACCCTTTTTCCCGATTTTGAAACCCGAAAGCTGGGGTGTGGCCTACAACTGAGTAAGCGTTTAGAAGGGGTCTTTCACGAGACTCCCCTGCAATATTTTGGGTGCAGCCTAGAATTGAATAAATAAGGTAAGATAAACTTAACAAATTCAACAAGAAAATATACAAATCAGTCTCTCTTCTTTTCTATGAGGAGAGATATAAATTTAAATAAACAATAAGTACAAATTTGACTTGACAGTAGATGTCATAGATTTCTGAAGCCTGAGTCTCTTTTGCATAAAAAACAAGTAATAAATAAAATGCAAAACTACGGAATGCAAATTTTTCTAATAAATGATACATATACTCACCAGGATGGACGTTAATTTCTCAAATTAGCTAGTTCATTCTCATCTCCATGCAACTTTGACCAAATGCATGACTGGATGAACACAGAATTTAAGGTCATATTTACAATGACAGACACATGTCACAGATAATTTCTTGCACACTAAATAATGACTTTGGATATAAAACAATAGCTTATCCCTCAATTGCATACTAGCCATCTAGAAATAATGCCGCCGGTTTTACACTGATTACTATCACTATAATACAGATTGTGCAAATATTTTTTTCTGAGGATTTGGCGTTATTTATGTGTATAAAATATTTGGGGAAAATTGAAAGTCAAAATAAGTTACTTTTCCTGCGGTGGACATTGCAAAGCAGTTAAGGAATTATGGGTGACGGTCACGACGCTCTCATGACATTTTAAAAAGAAATACAAATGACTTAGAATTCGATTGTCAAGGAGACGTCGTTGCGATGTGAAACGACTTTCCATGCCAGCTGAAACTCGTAGCCGCTTCAGGCTGGTATCGGCGTAACCTGGCGGGGACGGTAGACGACGGTTGGCTGGCGGCAGCGCCGGTCACTTGTCTCTTGGACTTCCCTCTTGACGGGATGGGGTGGTTCACCAGATCGTGATCACGACTTCCTGCGACTCTTTTCGAGGGGTGCAGGGGTGGAGTAAAGGGGAAATGGTCGGCCAAGTTATCAGGTCCAATGCCACACACTCACGTTCATCCACGCAACTAGCCCATACTCTACTCCCCCTCCTTCACACAGGCACACAGGCACACACGCGCACACACACACACATACACACACACGCACACACACAAGCACACTTATTCTCACTCGGGGACGAAAAGTAACTGCTCAAGCCTTGGGAGTGCGATACACCCCAGCGAACAGGACCGTCTTCTGTCCCTTGTCGTAGAGCATGTAGACGAACGGGTGGTTGCAGATGAACTGGATGGGGGTGAGCGGCCGCGACGACCGGAAGGCGAACAGCGCGGTCGCCCCGGCAGCCTTGGTGCCCTGCTCGTCCACCTCGATCTTGGCCTTGTGCATGATGCGGTCGAACGTGATGCCCGGCTGCCCCGTCAGGCTGGTCAGATTGGCCGACGGCTTGAAGAGGTCACCGACGCCTAGCGCCTCCAGAGTCTGCAAAGAAGCGGAGAGGGTGAGGATCGCCTCCAGCAGGACAATGAAAGCAGACTGTGCAGGGCGGGCGCCCAGCGCTGTCGAGCGAATGGAGATGCTTGCCCCGCATGCAGGCGTGTAGGCACACCAGGACGCTCAGCTGCGGCCAGATACCTGGGTGTCGGGGAGTGTCAGGGGTGTCTGCACTATGCTGTTAGCATGGCTGACATGAGCCACCCAAGCCACCCGCGTACACTGGACGCAGCTCCTGTGCGAATCTCGCTGGGCCAGCAAGGCGCCCGCCACCTGCCACCGGTGGTGTCTCACGGAATACTTACGCCGACGAGGTCCGCGGACTGCTCCACTTTGAACGTGGGGATGGCGACCTCAACCTGCCTGGCCATCAGCTGGTCGTCGACGAGGTCGAGCAGGGCCTCCGGGGTGAGCGCGCTGATGATGCCGTCCACGCCTCCGGACACGCCGCCAGTGCCCTCGACGCCCATGCCCTTGACGAAGGGCGGCAGCAGGATGTACATGGACACGTCGTGGCCCTTGTACGGCAGCTCCAGCACGTGCGCGCCGAGGGGCTCAGAGACCTCTGCAACACGCGAGAGGAGAGCCACGTGAATCATCTGGCAGGTACAAAATGTGCGCACACTCTTGAGCGGGGACGCTCAACTCCTCCTCGTTTTCACCTCGGTACATTCATTGTAAGGGCACCGCACATAGCGCCCCACTCGCCCCACTTTTCCCAGGGCTTATTCATTCTCAGCAGCGCTATTGTCGAGGAAGTAGCTTGATCAGGTACCACGTACAGCACAGGTCACCCCCCCCCCCCAATCATGCGGGTGCTTTCTCCGCTCCTCCCTCCAATCTCCCTTTCGCGCCGATCTAAAAGCGACCACCACTTACTGTAGTTAAAGCTGCCTTTTTGCTTCATCATGTTGACGAAGCCTCGTTCGGAAGAGGAAATGTGGAACACCTCCTTGTGAGTGTTCTCGGCCGGGAACTGGGACTGCCACAGACCCTTGAAGTAGGCGGCGTTGGCCAGGATCAGCTTGGTTTGTTCGTGAACACCGTCTTCCGGAATGAGGTCTCGGATTTGACCTTTAGTAACAGACTCCACCCACTGATTGATGGTCTGGCGAGCCTGAGCCGGGTTGTGGGCGAAATCCATGGTTTGCAGTTCCGTGTCCTGAAAGCAACCAAAGGCCAAAAGTTTCAAATAACAGTTGAATATTTATATTTTTTGCTTCACTTTATTTGGGCTTTGAGGGATTTGGAGGATGCAAATATACACAGGGAAGGTATCTTGTGACGCTGCTATACGGGAAGTGAGCGTCTCCAAGTCCTCATTACCTGGAGGATGCCGGCGAGGCACTCTCGCACGGGCTGCGACTGGTCAATGAAGAGCCGGTTGGCGGAGCGCAGCTCGTAGCTGGACGAGTTGGCGGCGCGCGCCTCGAGCATCTTCTCGTCGAACTTGTAGGCGTGCATGATGGGCACCTTGCCCACGTCCTCGGGCAGCTGCAGCACGCTCTTGACGGCGCGCTCCGTGTGGCCGGCCGCCGTGAAGTAGGCGAGCAGCAGCGCCTGGTAGATGGAGTGCGGCGACACGAACAGGTTGCCCTCGGTGGTGGCGGCCAGGTGGCGCAGCAGGCTGACGGAGAAGGCCCGCTGGCCGTCGCTCAGCGCCTGCAGCGCGTTGACGGGCGACGCCTGCATCAGCTGCGCCTCCTCCACGCACAGCGGCCGCGCGGGCTCCTTCGGGGGCGTGAGCGCCGCGGCCGACGGCTGCTGGGGGGCGGCCACCGCAGAGCTCACGAGGCACGCCACCGCGAGCGCCACCCAACCTGGACAAAGAGCAAACAGAGGGCTGGTTAGGATCGGAGCGTGCTCGTCTTCCCTCAACGTCTAGCTGCTGATTCTAAACAGGGTCCGCGAAGTAGTTCCTCACGGCAACGCGAGAGAGAGGGAGAGAGAGAGAGATAAGAGATAGCAATAAGCAATAAGTCTTGTCGCTCATGGCGTCGGCCGATGGACACGGGGTATAGATTCGTGCCTAGGATATTGCGAGAGTCGTGAGATTTCAGCGGATGCCATACTAGAATGATTTACCCATTTATTGCTTGTCGGAGATGGCGTGGGTGAGGGGGCTGTGGGTCGTGGCGGAGGGTCGCGTTCCAAGATGTCTGCACGGCAAGGGGTGGCTCTTGGACGGAGCGTGGGCGTCATTGAGGAATTGAGCTGGGGTGGCCCGGGGGTGGCCCGGGGGCGTGAGGGCCTTTTAACGAGGGTCTCCAGGGGGGAGAAGGGGGGGGGCGAGCTGCGTGGGCGCGCTACAGAGGGGGTGGGGGATGGCTAGGAGCAAGATGTGAATGAAAGGCGAGCGAGTTTACGCAAGACGCAGGACGGAAGGGAGGGGGGGGGGAGTCAGATTTATCAATACTGTCCCTTTTTCGTTCGCATCATTGTACAGTTACAAACACATTAACTTTCGAATTGTGTTGCATACCAGGTTGGCTAATTTGGCCAGCGCACCTCTGTAGTTGTGCTGTACCACATTCTTACGTGCGGGCGGTTGTCTACTCGCTCGGCCCGTTGTTCAACGCGATGGTCAGGCTCGACAGGCAAGCCCGCCTACGCGCGACATCAGGTCAGTTAGTCGGGGGAACAAATTCGGGGGAAGCAAGTGACAGCATAGGGCAATATACGAAAAGTGGAAATCGAGGAACTCTCGAGGCAGGTCAGCACACCGCGACGGTCCCGTGCCTTGGAATACCAGTGCCCCCTTGCACCTCCTTGAAAAAGTCTGTGTGAGTGCGCGCGCGCGCAAACGTGTGTGTTTGTGTGTCTGTGTGTGTTAGTATTCTGTACACAGGCTTGGCGAAAATGCGACGAGGTTGTCGTCTTTTTGTCCGGTACGTTTCCAAGGCCCATCGGAGCTCAGAAGAGCGGCAGGCAACATACAAAATGTCCGAGGAAGCAAAAGTCCTCTTCAAGTCGGAGCAGACACCATTTACTGCAGTCCTCTAAAGTTGTCCGCACAATGGGCGTCTCACGAGGTGACTACTACTGCTAGCACCTGCGACGTGCTGGCAGAGCTGCGTAGGCTAACCCGCCAAACAGCCGTGCCAAGACGATGGCCCACCCTGAGCGCCCAAATGCCTGGGATATTCGGTGGAGAGAACTTTTGACGCCCAAGGCCCCTAACACTTCTCTCGCCTCTCGCGTCACCTCGGGGAAAAATTCGTTGTGGGGCTCCTTAGCAGGGTATTTCGCATCGAAAACGGACACGGAGAATATGTAAGGTATGAGCCGGAAACAATATTACACATGTAAAGAATTACAATATACGAAACAACTGAAGTAGTACAATTTTGTAGGAACTATGGTAACTCATAACAAGCACAGCAATTCTAAATGGCACTTTAGGTCGTCATGTCTTCTGTTTCCGGCTTCGGTTCGTCACTTCTTTGCACATATTCTCCCTCCCAATTTTCGACTCAGCAAAACACCCCCATACTAGAGGAGGGGTCAGTCAGTTCAGCTAACTATTTTTTTTCCTCGTCCTGCTTCCTTGCTAACAGCCGCGACGAAAGCTCCCGGACGCCCGAGTTCAATGTAGACCAGAAGAAGGCAGAGCCCCGAGAGCCCCCCTCATGTCACCGGCCGGTGGCGCGCGTGCACACACAGCCTCTGACCCTCAACCTCAAGCCCCGCAAACATGGGCGAGCCAGTGTAAGCACCGAGACTGAATATTGAGACGAGTCGTGCCACAACAAGCGGGCCAGGCCACGGGCCGGGCCGTCACCTCCGTACGCAGAATATAAATTGCAAATGTCATGCTTCGCACTGCTGCCCCACTGCTCCGCACGCACCCCAAGCGCATGCCATCCGACGGGTTCTTGTCCAAATCGCGGCACGATAACAGAGGTCGGAGTCGCGGACCCACCATTACCGACCGTGCCCAGGGGATCGCCCAGAAAGTACGCCCGTCTGGTCCGTCATTCGCCGCCGTCACGAACCTGCTCAGCCTCTACAAGCTCTCATACCGCCTGGCCTGGTAGCTAGGCAACATCTTGCCTGCAGTGCGTGCGCGTACAGCGGGGTGGCCTACCCAGTGTCTCGCAGGCGCTGAGCTCTCGTCATTTCATTTGCCGAATGAATCAGTGAAAAACAGGATTGGTGATGTCAGAAAACGTCACGGTCACTTCACTGTGATTAATCGGTGGTGTGGTATCGTAAGACATTTTCCTTGGGTGAGAATGTTGCCCCAAAATAATAAAGATATAAAAGAACTGCTAAACGATGCGCGAACAAAAACTAGTTCAGTACAAATGGGCCATCTGCTGAAAACACATTTGCGACACACAAGGGAAAAACACTGACTGAAAGGTGAGAGGCGAAAATCTAGGAGAACTCGTAATCCCGGGCAGGGCCGACCGTGAGGGCATGGACATGTTGTGCTTTAGTCACGAATGCCATGCGCGGTCGGTACAGTATGTGCTGTACTGCGCGGCCCCGCTCACGGACACGCCTCGGCTCGGCTCGGCCCGGCTCGGATCAGCCCGCACGCAACCAGCCTCGACGTGACGGCGACAGGTGAGCATGGGGGGCCGATGGGGGCGGCATCTAATTGTCCTGATTTCGATGGCAGTGCGGGGGTTCCGCACTCGCGCCGCTGCGCCGCCGCCCGCGCCCGCGGCCCGGGCTGATGCCCTGCGCCCGTCCAACTCCATGGCGCCGTGAGATCTCGCCCATGTCGAAGTGACAAAGCAAGAACTGCCGCCGCTCTAGCCGCCGCGCCGCCGCGCAGGTGTGGGAAGCAAGGAAGGTTTTCCCCGCAGCAGCATCGCGCTCACCCGGCCGCGGGCGTGGGGAGGCGTCGAGGCGGCACAACACGGCCGGTGACGTCACGGCCGCCTCTCCTCCGGCTCATTCAAGTCGCGGGAGGCAGCCGGGTGATTGGGGGAGCCTCTGGGGGAGCCTGTGGGCGGGAGCCTCGGTTGTGCCTCTGGGGGTGCCTGTCGGGGTGCCTGTCGGGGAGCATCTGGGGAAAACTCTGGGGGAACCTCTAGGGCATCCTCTGGGTGACCCTCTGGGTTACCCTCTGAGGGAGCCTCTGGGGGAGCCTCTGGGGGAGCCTCTGGGGGAGCCTCTGGGGGAGCCTCTGGAGGAGCCTCTGAGAGAGCCTCTGGGGGAGCCTCTGGGCGAGCCTCCGGGGGAGCCTCCCGGCCGCAGCAGGAGCACCCCCGCCGTCCGTCGTGGCCACTGCGATTAGAGAGGAGCAGCGGCTCCCACCCCCACCATTGAGTGAAAGTGACACTCCCAGCCACTGACTCATTCACGCGCCCCGCTGTTTGCAGTGGGCTTTGCAAAGAAAAGCAGCTGGCGGGGAGGTTGTTTCCTCCGGATTGCTTTCGCGGACGCTTTGCTCAGCGCGGAGCCAGCAGAAGTCAGGTGGGCTAACCTTACCGCCTTGCGCAAAACCCTGGTCATTGCCGGTCGAGAAGCAGCCCCTCCCCCCCACGTCGGCAATTCTAAAACCCACCGTATCGGCCTCCGCCGATTTGGGTAAACTGGAGTGGACTGAGTTGGTGGCCCCTCCCCGTCCTCCCTCCGCGGCGCGTCGGCGGCGCGTCGGTGAAAGCGCGGCGCCGGGCGGCGGTGCGCTGGGCGCGCGGCGGCCTCTGTTTCCGGCTCCGGCGGCAGAGCAGCCGCCACAAAATGCGGAAAAGGGCCATCCGGCGTCACGCATAGTGAGTGCGCTATCGGTGTTCAGCCCATGTGCACCGCGGCTGCAGCGCGCGGCGGGCGGCCGCCTGCGGTCCGCGGCCACCGCGGCTCCGGGTCGCGGTCCAGAGGCAGCCTCCCGCCCGCCACGCTCAGGACAGTCCGGCTGGCGGCCAGTGGTTTTCCCTAATCTCAATGGGCGAGCCAAACGCCGACGGCCTCTCCGCGGGGCTTGGCGGGACTGCCCCGCCCCGACACGACCCGGGCCACGGGCCACGGCCGGGCCGTACCGGCCGCTGCACAGAATGTGGACAGACAGAAATACGACCGTGCTGCTCTTTGCCCCCCTTAAAGCAATCGGGTGTCGTCGGGGCGACGCGCGGCACGACCCACACCAACGCGGCTCGGGTTGTGTCTGCGGCGGCCGCGCACCGCCGCGCCCCGCAGGTGACGTCACCCCGCGTCCGTCCGCCCTTAGGCGGCGGGGGTGACAACACTCACTCGCGCTGGCCACACACCGACACACCTGTCTCCGGCGCACCTGCGGCACCTGTGGCACCTGCTGCGGCACCTGCGGCGGGCGCCACTTGTGTCCCCGCAGCGCAACACGCGACGGCCCGGCCGGGCTTCCCGCAGCGAGGCCTCGCCGGCCGCGAGGGGCGACGCAACGGGGACGTAATCGCGCGAGGGCGGGTGTGGCGTGGCGATGACCGAGATGATGGGTATTTCAGGAAAAGGGAAAGGAAGAAAGCTGCTCCTCTTGCCGGCCCGGTCCCCGGCCCGGCTCTGCCTGTCCTTGGCCCAGTGCGCGCCGCCGCCGCGGTAGGGCCGTGCGCGCTGGGGAACTCCACCGCCGCGCCGCGCAGCCGCGCACCGGACCAAAAATGAAAAAAAAAAAAATCAAAAATTCCCAGCCACCGTCTACTCTGGGGATCGAATCCCCACCCCATACACCGGATCTGAGCAGCGTAATATCCCCGGCTCGCTGGGGGCAGGCTGGGCCGGGCCGGCAACCTGCCCTGACCCTGGAGGTGCGCGCCGCGCCGGCACCCGGGAGCGCGCGCTCACGCGGTGACGCAACGGCCGCGGCCCACTCCTCTCCTCCCCTCCTCCGACTGCAGCTTTCTCAGAGTCGCGCACGGGGCCTAACTGCACGGCCACGCACGCGCGGCAGCCGTGCCTGGCCCGGGGCACTGACACCGCTGACACACCCCGTCCGTCACTGGAGCAGCAGCCGACGCCGGGCTGGCCGGGCCCGCCGCCCCCGACACACACAGGAAGCGGCCGCCATGCCGGCCGCCGATATCGCGGCGACCTCCAACGCCTATCCAACCATCCGCGCGCCCCGCCGGCTGCGCCCGGCTGCGCCGCTGCCAGATTACGAGAGGGTTACGCTGCAGGTGGCGCGGCACGGCGCGGCCGCCCCCGTGGAGCCAGTGTCGCCGCTCAGCTCTGGAGCCGGCCGTCGCGCGCAGTCTCATTTCGTAACGCTAAAAATACAGCGTCGGGGCAGCACAGCGGACGCCTGGAGATTCCCCGGCGTAATAATGGCTGGCCGGCAAGGTGAGCCACTCAGCCACACACGCGGCCCATTCAATCTGCCCCCCCCCCCCCCGCGCCATTGCACTCTCTCTCCCACGCACAAAGACAGTGTCCGCGTTGGGACCACAACAACACTTTTACGGCGGACACGCATACGTGCCAACATACGCACAGAGCGCGCGCCGGACTTCCCTGGGCGGCGCTTCACCGGTCTGCCCTGTGGGCTGGTCTGTGGGCTGCCCCCCGAGGCCTAGAAGGGCTTGCCGCTGGCGATGCGTTACCTTGTGTTGACGTTGCCATGCTGCTGTGTTGCGCGCTGCGTACGTATCCTGCCCCGGGCGCACTGCTGTACTGACTGAACTCGACTGAACAGCGATTCAGCGCCAGGCCGAGCTACACTTGCCTGACCTGCCGGCCCGGCGGGAGAGGAGGCTTTTCCCGGGCAGAGGGGACAGGGGCCCCGCGGCCGGAGCCGAGCCGGCCCGAGCCGGGCGTAGCCGGGCGGGGGAAGAGGGGAGAGCCCGAAGCCGTGTCGAGCCGAGCGGCTCGAAGCGAACGAGTCCGGCCGGGGCGCGGCTCCACTGCGCGGGCCGAGCCGAGCCGAGCCAGGGCGTCGGTCGGCGTCGCTGCTGAGCGCAGGGTGCTTCGGTTTCACCGCGGGGCGCTGGTAGCCAGCGCGTCAAGGCGTCGTCATGCCTCCTCCAGTCGTGTTTTTATTCTTCTTCTCTTTTCCACTCTTCTTCCCCTCTGAACGCGACGTCACGTTTAGCAGTTTAGCGTTGCCTTCCGACGAAGGCCCGGTGGTGTGGACGTGGACGTTAAAGGGTGGCCTGTCTGGCACACCAGCCCGAGTGCTCCGGCGTTGCTGGCGGGCGGATTGCCTAATCGCTCGAAGCCGTAAGGCAGTCCGGGACGATCGGCCCTATCAAGCCAGCCGCCTACCCTTTAACATGTGCCAAATAACTCCAGCTCAAGCCACCTCAAACGACACTACTTTTGCAAAAGACTACTTAGCTACGCAGTTGTTTGTTCTACTGATGATTCCGCAGAGCATAACAAAACTGGGTAAAATCATGAGGCGAGGAGAGCGAACACACGACATAATAAAAAGTTTCTGAACGCACAAATAATATTTCGCGAGTCTAATAGCTGTTGTTACCACCACCACACAAATGAACGCGGAATCCTGCTCCTTCTAATTGAAATGCCCATGAAAAGATGAATACTGAATATTCGACAATCGACAGTCCCCACGCTTCTTGATCGATGACTTGATTGGAGCTATTATAGAGCTCGGCCGTGCGTCACCAATGTGTGCCATTAAGTCGTGCACTTTATGTGTGAATGCTGCATCCTGCACCTGGCCTGGGACAGCCCCCGACCCCCATAAACTTCCCGCTACAGACGACGGCAGCTGAATTTGGTTCGGGTGATATTGTGACCGATTGTGACGATGGTGAAGGCTGCGGAAGTTCAAAGTCAAAGAAACACTTTGCTGATGACTGTTCCTGTCAGGCGTGTTAGACACGGAGTGACGAAAATCTTGAACCTCTTGCCTCCTTCACATTCACGTCACGGCGATAAGCCTCACTCTCTGAGCCGCGAGCTCCCTCAGCGTGGCGCGGCACGCTTCGTCAGCGTCGCTCCTTTCCTCGGAATGTTTACACCGCGGTGGCCAGCCACTTCCGTAGACAGGCTGAACTGCGCGCTCACGTGCGGGCGGGTTGCCTATGGGGATCACCCAGTAAGTACGCCGTCAGTCGCCGTTACGAACCTGCTGATTTGAGCCGATGCAAGCAGCTCTCATGGCGCCCGATGGGTAGGCAAAACCTTGCCTGCAGTGCAGGCGTGTGGTGCGGGGTGGCCCACCCTTAGTCTCGCAGGCGCCGAGCCCCTGTCATTTGCCGAAGGTAATCTAAGAGAAGCGGACGTACTTTCTGGACGATCCCCTACCCGCCCTGGTACCATGGGTAGAAGAGGTGATACGGTACCGTATAATTACGAATGCGGGCGGTGCGAATCAGGCCCCTGTTATTCCTGTACTCTCCCAACTCGCCAGCGAGCGAGTAGTGGGGCCGTCGTGTGACTCGTCTTCCGCGCCAACTTGACAAACAATGATTGCTTTTAAAATTGTTGTCCAGTCAACGCGTTCACGACTTCTTGCTCGGAGTCTGCTGGAATGCCTGGAGAGTTAGGCAACTTATGAGCTCTCCGGGGTTGAGGGGATTGCCTGCCTGTCGCTCGCATCGTAGGCCTAGGTAGCACCTCGGCGATCCTGGACTGGGCTTCACTGCCCCTCACTCCCTCACTTCACTGAGCTATTAACCCGAATCGGAAGGTGAGAAATCGTCATACAAATGGCCATCGATGCCGTAATTATTGAGAGACAACATAATTCAATGTGAAAATCCAACTCGCCGCCTCCACATCTTCGCGCTGCCACGCCTAAGGCTTGGCCAAATGGACCATGCACCAGGCAGGACTTCGTAGAAAAGAAAACTTATTGAACTGTTTTCCTCCACGGTTTTTCCTGTAAATATTGTTTTCGTGAAACCAGCCATTTAATCGATTCCGCCGAGGCAACGAGTAGATGCGTAAGCACCCGCAGCTTCAATGGGCTGCCTGATAGGGATGCGCACAACAAGTAACTCATTGGCGATAGCATCGAGGCCCGGGGACCGCCGCGGCCAGCATCCCGCCCGGCGCGACAGCTCGGCGACAGCTCGGCGGCGAGCACGCGGGGCGCGGTGGCGCGGGTGCATGGCGACGCGGGATTTCCCTGCGACTTAAGGAACATTGACGTTCCTGCCGTTGGACGCCTCGCTGGTCCTACTCGGCCGCGGCCATAGAAACTAAAGGTTTTGTGCTCTCTTCATGTTGTATCGCTCCGCCGATGGCTAGAGCTGAATGGGCGGATCCGAGGGGGCCCCAACTCCGAGCCGGTCGGCGCGGCTGCGTGGCCTGGCCCGGCGAGACCAACGCGGCTCGGGCTTCCCCCGGGATACAGAAATGCAATGCACTGCTGTCTGATGTGTTCAACTGGCGAAAAGTATAACACCGTGTCGGATACGTACTTATTGTGCTTATTCTGCGTTTGACTGGGAATTTGTGTGTTAACAACTGTTAAACCGTAAAATTGGATAGGACTCTGAAGTGCTACTCTAGTGTTAAGCGTGGCAATTTATCATGTGCAAGTTGAAGTTGAAGTTCGACTGACGAAGGAAGAAGAATAGAGGGTAGAACGTAACGGTTCGTGATTGGTCAAGCCTTTATCTCCACTGTGACGTAAATGTGGGACTTTTCGCCAATCGGTAAATTTTACGTTCTACACGCTATTCTTATCCCTACGTCATTCGAAGGGCACTGTTGCGCAGTACAACACTCGCAAACATAGGTACACATTTCTGGCCCAACACCTGCTCGTAGGGACAAGGTGGTTATTGCATTCTGCGGGTGCTTGCCGGTATAACTTTAATCATCAGTGTACAAACGCGAACCCACCCATCCCGTGTCCCAACCAGAAATGAACATTGTATTATCGTGATACGATGACAATTCGACCCCAATACCTCGATTTGCGAGACAAAATCACGATTTTCGAGCAACGTCGGCGCTGACTGTGACTCTGGACTGCAATCTTACGCACGGGCGAAAGGATTCCCCTGCACCCGAGGGGGTAATCACTACAGAAAGTAGGTGTACACATTTCTATAAAAGTTAAAGTGAAAGTGTCAAAAAGTTGACTGAAAGTGACGAAAACTGAAAGAAAATGTGAACAAAAGTAACTAATCGTGCCTTGATCAGATCAAAAATGAATAAAATAGAGGAGATATAGGCATAGAAATGAAGTAAACGTTGTAAAACGGTGAAAAAGTAAATAAAAGTGGAAAAGAGAACAGTTGAGGTGTACGCATTTTCACGGAGTGATTACCCCCTCGCCTGCACCTTCGCAAACAGCCGTCGTCATTTCAGGGAACTGCTAAGGTGGGGTGGAATTCCCTCCGAGGTCCTTGTGGCAGCCCGTCTGGTACGATCCGCTTGATAACCCACGGCGCTTGTGTGGTGACTCAGACCCTTTGGCAGCCGGTAGGGGGGCTGGGTCCGCTGGGCTGGGCCAGGTTCGGCAAGGTGGTGGTCCGGGTCGGGCCACCTCACCTCGCGTCCAAGGACGAGGCACGGCCGGCCGCGGCGCAGCCAGGACGTTGTGCACCGGCCATTGTTTGGAGGGAGGAGCCCCAACTCCTGGTGGCGCGCCTAACACGGACCCCCATACAAGGAGCGCGGTTATTCGCATTGCGCTTGACGGGATACAACATGACAATATGACAATGACTGATACAGGGAAGTTCAGAGCAGAGACTCTGAATTTACGTGCTTTATCCTTCCCTGCAAGATAAAGTCAGTTCCCACAGTTCCCACTATCGTCTTTAAAGCCAAATCTCGAGGATAGTGCAAAACCGACGAAAATTTGAGAAACACTGTGTCAGTATCATTTGTACAGTAGGGCCTACGGGTGCTAGGAATATTGAGCTGGCGTTCATGTTAACTTCCAAACGCAACCCTGTGAGTGAAATGTTAGATTGGAATCAAGAGAGCTGCTCATTGCAATGCGGCTAATACTTCAGAGCACTCTGCTGTGTTGAGCTGAATATAAAAGTTGTTAAGTGGCTTGGACAAAACTAGAAAACGGCAAATTTGGTACAAAAGTTGATTTATTTTTCAGTTCTTATTTTTTTTCTCTCATTTTTTTTTTTTCAAAATGAAAGTTCCTTCCTGAGGAATGCCAAGGAACTAAAGTCTTTGAATACAACATTAAATATACGGATTAAAAAAAATGACTAAGTTGATGTATTTTCTATAAAATTTACACTATAAATAGTTATATAGATCTCTGTGCAAAGAATGGCGCAACAAGGGTACATAAGGTTGTTACATGGTATACTTGCAGTGCTCAGGTACTGAAATTTACTAAAATGCACGTAAGATTAAGCAACCAGAAAACTTTCCCAGATCCCTATAGACCTTCATAACTGGCAATATACACCAAAAGATTATAACAAAATTCAGTGGGTACTAACTACCCAATAACAATTTAACAAAAGGTATAAGATGCCTAGGAGTTGTAAATTTTTTAAGAAACAAATGGGCACTTGTTTATGAAACTGACAATCGTAATCTCACTGAAGTTTTCATCATATTGACGTCTCTAAAATAGAACATCATTATTATGAGCATAATGCAAAAAACTTCTAGAGGTTAAATGATTGTCAGATCTAACCCTGATATCAGTGCTAAAAAGCTTGATCACAATTATAAAATAATATTTGACTAAATATTATATGTTTAGGACAAATATTTGTTTTTCTCAGAAACAAAAGCAATGGGAGTGAAATAATTATACTTAAGAGATAAAGAAATTTAGATAAACTAGCCTGCACTGATCCAACCACTTTCAACCATGTAATTAAAAATATGTTTTAAAGGTTCTCCATCTAAGGTACAAACCTCAGATAGAGTTAGTCCATCTTCCTTTTTACTACCCTTGTTAACATGCATCTGTAAAAGAAAAATAAACAACATTGTTAGTATTGATTAACAAAGACAAGACAAGGTGGTTCAGGAAACAGCTAATGAAGTTCAACAAACCTCAAGAAGAGAGTACTTGGCGCCATAATATTGATTAGGTGTGATTTTAAGTGTGGTACATAACTGAAAATCATAGAAAGGTAATTAGCAAAATAGTAAAATCTGACGATATGTGAGGAAAGGAGAGAAAATCTTACCTGAGCTTCATCTTTGGAGAGTAAAGGATAGCCAGGGAGGGCAGCAACATCTTGAGGTGTATCTGCTGCTAGGGTGTCATCACTGTCTGCCTCCCCGCCACCCTCAGTACCACTATCTGGACTCACGGGGAACAAGCAACGATCGTTTCCCATAGATGTTGATTTTTTTATGATTGAGAATGAGCCGCCTTTTTCTCTGGAAAATTAAAGAAATTTTGTAAGAAAACATGCAGATGAAAATCTAATACCCTATGACAATACTGTTTGAGAGTGAGTTTCTAAAACAAGCATGCCTTGGCCGAGTTGCTGCATTGACACGCACTGTTAAAGGAAACAGGGTAAGTAACACAGATCCCAATTACAAGGACAGGGATTTGACTGTTATAGTGTGTATAGTGAACATAGGTGATTCTACAGAAAGTTAGAGTTAAGGGGTGGTTGTGAGAAGAGTGAAAACTTTCACAGATCTTTGCCTTGGAGCGGAGTAGCATTGAAGCTTCAATAGTTTTTAGATAGAAAGAACATTCAGCTCACCTTCTTTTTGACTGCGCTGACAGAGGAGAGAGGGACACATTGCAGCTGTCCTAGTCAAAAGTGGACAATGTAGTAATTTGACAGTAAATAATGACATTTGATTTGTGCAAAAAATAGATTTGATAGTTAAACTTCAGAGCTGCTTACCGAGTTCCGTCGCTTATCTCTTATTTCCTGACGCAGCTGTTCGAAATGGTGACATTCTTCAACAGTTGTGATACCGTGGCGTCTGTACCTTAATAGTTCATTGATTCGAACTTCCAGTTCTCTTTGGCGACGTACACCAGCAAGAAACTGTTCATGTTCTTGAGATGAATGAAATTGGGTTAAAACTCGCATGTGGTCCTGAAATTCTCTACGGAACCAAAAACAGAAAGTTAAGACATAATATAAAATCAAGTTTAGAATTGGCACTCATGATAGAGTATTTATTGTAAGAAGTGTGTACCTTTCATCTCGTGGTAATTTCTTCTTAAATACGGGGCGGTCTTTGCGAGTGGTGGGCTGGAAGAAATTGGCGACAAGTTGGTAATCTCGCCCAACTCGCTTACGCCTAGCTCTCTCCCTGAGACGTCTGGTGTACATGTCAACTTGTGCTAGCTTCAGAGCTGAAAATAATGAACATAAGAAAACTTGTCATTATGAGTTGACACACTCATTTAAACATTGCAAAAATGGCAAAAACAAAGCTCTTACCAATGTCTAGTTCATCATCTTCAACTGGGTGAATAGATAAAGGCGACACAAGTGCTTCTGCATCATTATCAAATTCCTGAAATTTACAGTTAATGGATCAACTTAAGAAAATTAGAGAACAAAAGCACATTTCACATTTAAATGATGCCAAATGTACCTTTTCAAAGTCATCTCTCAAGGGCATGTAACCAAGCTGGGCAGCCTCATCTGGAGTAATATCAAGAGGTGGCAATTTATTTATTTGTTCAGGAGATAAAGGACCATCATCAGGAATTGAGATTTCAGTTAACAAAGGACGGGAGTTGGCAGCCGAATTCCAAGTTGCTTTTCCTATGTTTCCCTCCAGATAGCGGTTGATGTACTCTTCCCGGGCTTCTAAAAATGAGAAAAGGGAGTGCACAAATAGATAAATTAAAATGCAAAAGCATAATTTCCTGGTTAAAATTAGTGTCAAATCAATTTTGGTACCATCAGGAGTTCTTGTTTCAATATGTCGGCTTATATCTTCCCAATTTCCAAATCCATACTGTTCAATAGCATCAAGTAAGTGTTGCTCTTCTTTGGCTGTCCATCCATTTTTGCCCAAAAGAATTCCGACGGCTCCAGAATCCTATAAAAAAAAAAGAAGAGAGAGAGTTAATGAGTGGGCCACATCTTTAGTAAATATAAGTGACAAGAAAATAAATAACATTACCTTGAACTGGTATGAATGATTATTTTTGTGTTGTCCTATTTCCGCACCAGCTGAAAAACACTGTAAAATCCATGCAGTTTGAAAATTTGACTATGAGGTATGGATATTATACACACTAGATTGTTTTCTCTTACCTGCAAACATATTTCAAAATCTGTACACTCAGCACATTTGACTCGTATTCCAGACACATCCTCCTGACAGTAGTTACATTGTGCTTTGGCAAACATGACTGAAATAAATGCATAAGAAACATATATGAGAAAAGCTAATTCCAATAATACACATTTTAAGTATAGAGTAAATCTACTGAAATTTTAAATTTAAATAATTTACGGTAAAATTTGTAGTTTACATTTTTGGCAGTAAATAAGGAAATAGTAAGACTTTTTTTACGATGCTGTGCAAGTATTCTATTTTCAAATCTCAAGATTTAAGAGCGTCTGATTCTTTTTAAAGATTCAGCTTTGATTACAACAATATTTCTGTTTCGGATGGAGGTTTATATGCTTTCCACAACAGTCACAGCGTTTGCGCCAAACAAGAGAGAGACCTCCAGACCGGAGACGCTGTCTGCTTTAAGCTCTTACGATTCAGTATGCTACGTAAGCCATTATCCGAATTGATAAAAACATAAAATGAAAACTAAACGGTAAAATATCTGTAAAATAATTCCATGATGTACCATAGAAAGGTACATAAATAACATGCAAAAGGATCCTATAAAGGCGTACCTTTCGGCCATTGACGCACCCACCGTCGCCCGCCCCGCCGTGGCCTGCTACAAAATTTACGTGAGTTGGAAACAGTTTGATAAAAGGCTGCGTCATTATTGGAAGTAAAAGCGCGGGCAATTCGAAGACGATCTGCACGTTGCATTCGGCCTATAGTTTGTATCTGTTGTGTATGACAACAGATAGCGCCACAGTCGTCTAGTCACGGCCTTCTGTATCCTTGTGTATTGTCCACCTCTGTGATAAAGCTGCTAATAAACTCAGTTCAGTCTGGTCCTTTGACAACGAACGTCTAGTCTCTCCTACCCCTTCGGCCCTCGACAGCACTATAGAAGAGAACACGACAGTATCGTTTGCAAATACCCGACGGCTCATTTCTTTAATGTTTTTCTTAAGAAGAAAAAAACAATCACGTAGTGTGCTGTAGTGTATCTCAGAGAGATCATGGGATTTCGATCGACCATGGGACGATGTTTTCAGCTGTTGCCTCCGTGCTGTTGCGTTGGTATGCGTTTGTCGGTGTTGTCGGAATCGGAATGTCGGAGCGACTTTTAAAATGTACTCTGGACTGTATACTGCTTGTTCAGAAAGGGCCGCTTGATGCTTCATGGACGAGAATTTGTAAGTAAAAGTATTGTTCAAGAAAAAGAAGAAAATTGAATGAAATAGATAATACAGTTGTTATGCCGAAATGTTTTCATTTTGCAATTACATATTGCTGGTGTGGTTTGTGTCTGGGCTCTGACTACTATAGTTCGAAGACACCGAAGGATACCGAATTACGCATCTTGGTATTTTCTTAATTACAGAACTGACCTAGCAGATTTCAGAAATACTCCCTTTACCTTATTTTTGAGAAAATGCCAATCTTAAATAAAATGTCATGGAGTTTGTCAACTGCGTTCGTAGTTCTTGTTGTGATGGAAATCCAATCTCCGGTAACCTCACTCAAACATAAAAATGTGATTTGCGATAAGTTAGAAGAGTGCACCTGTGGGTTCCCCACGGGCGAGGGCGTCAATTTGACCGCTCTGACGAACAGTACTTTAAAGTAAGTATAACTTCATACCACAGATCCAAAGTTTCCATTACACCCGTGCAGTGTTACATAACACCTCCTTTGTTGTCCTTTGTGTTCAGATTGTGTCCATTCGTGATTTTTGCATTGGGTGTGGGTCATACTCAAGATAGTGTCTTGTTGTTCAATCACCTTATTCATGTTCCTATTCCTTCGCTAAAATTGTGGACATTTGTACATTCAATTACTATTGTGAATTTAAGTTATGCCCCCAGGTCTTTTGGAACTCTTATTAATGACTGATTATGACTTATTGTTTTATGCTTTCAACTTTTAGATTGAATGACACTGATAGTAAAGTGGTTTTCTACTTTAACCCTTGTACAGATGCTCTGTCGCCATGTCCAAATAATTCAGTGGTAAAGTTAGCACAGACTATAACAGTTGCATTATTACTTAGAGTAATTTGGTTTCTTGAATTATTTCCTTTCTGTTCTAGATATGCATGGTTGATGATAACAATACTGTGTTGGACTTAGGATCAAAAGGTGGAGCTTCGTTCACATCTCAAGGTGTTTATGGTCCTGTGTTTATGAACTATGAGAAAGAGGACATGTGAGTATAGATTTAAGAGTCAAACTGTAATAAAATATCTTGTGTGGTATCAACATTTGTTGCAAACCCATGTTTATGCAATTTTTTATTATTTTCTTATGAGAAGAGCAACAGAAATTCAGCTAGACTGTGTGGATAAGGTAGAGTCCACGCTTTCATTCAATGAAAATTACAACAGATTTGAGCCCATTCTTGAAGTAAAATATGTGAGTAAACTTCGAGGAATTTTTTAGTTCTGAATACAGTTTTTCATTATGTAGTCTAAAATCAACTTCTTCTGCAGCATTTACTGCTGCAGTCTCCAGAAGCCTGCTTCAGGCCTGTTGAAGAATACTACTCAACAAATGTTGTGAGAGAAGGCATTTCATCTGGTGCACTGTTTCTCATAGTTGTGCTTGTGTTATGGCTTGCGTATATGATTGTTGGAGCAGCAGCTAACCACTTTATTAGTGGAGCTACTGGGTTTGAGATGATTCCAAACTACGAGTTCTGGAGAAGCCTCCCCGATAAGCTCGCCGTAAGTTTAGTACAATTACTTACTACAGGTATCTTCTTTTATTATGAAGTATTGTTTTTCTTATTTACTGTTGTGTATAGGATGGTGCTAAATTTGTGGCTAATGGATGCCGACCACCTCCAAGCTATGAACAAATCTGAATTGTGCTTCACGCTGCCCTCATGGAGAGTTGGTTTCTTCAATTTTGGTTTCTCTTCTTAGATTATGGTATTCTGTAATCATTTGCAAATTTATTCAAATCAGAAGAGTTTAAAGAAAAGCTCTCCAATATTATACAGCACGAACGAATCTCTACAATAATGGTATTTGTCAAAATTGACTACTTAAAAATCCCTGGAGTTTTTCTAGTCAGATTTAAATCTCAGTGTGCCACCTTAAATTTGTTAAAAAAAAATAAGTGTTTTGGTGTAAATAGTCTTATTTTTTTCTTTCAAATTGATGACAAATCAAGCCATCTAAAAATTGTGATAAGAAATGGTCCAAGATTACTTGTAAATATGTATTTTGAATAACTTGTGATACCTTAGTCTTCTGTTAGTGTACCTTGATTCACTGTTATGTTTGCCATCCATTTTGAAAAATCGTTTTTGTTTTAATTGAAATATCAATTTTGTCCTCATTATAAGACTGTTCTGAATGCAATGAATATTTTTCTTACTTCTTAATTGCTGTAAAGAGTGCACTGTGTGGTCATTGTAATATAATATAAATATATGTATATATATTTCTCTTTATCATTCTATCTATGTAATTTTGAAAACAATGTAAAGTTGCTTCAACAGTGACATCAGACGTCCTTCAAAAGTCTATCAAGACTTTTTTTCTAAATGTTTGAATTTTCAAGGTCTTCAGCCCGAAGGTATTTGAATTCCCCGGTTCTTCTGGGTAACCGACTGAGTCACCGAGCGCCGCTGAGCGCGTTGCGCGTAAGTACTTGCCTCGTTCGTCGAGAGATGGCAGTGCGAGTCGCGAGTCCAAGTGCTGGCTGTAGAGTGCGGCAGTAGAGCTCTCTCCTTAGTGTAATACACCCTTGACTGGTTTCAAAGAGCGAGAGGAAAGAGTCTCTTCTGGAGTCTCTTAAAATGGAGAGCCGTTCTTCACTAGGACGCTCTGAATGATTTAAAAACACACTCTTCGAAGGGGTTGTAAGGGCGTTCAGGACAAGAGCCGACAAGAAGCGCCAAAAGGACTTCCCGGGCCGCCGCTGTCACTGTTTGGAAACCGGTCATCGTACCAGGTGGCTAATTTACCCCCGCTCACTTCTCATGCTGTGAGGGGGGGGGGGGGGTGCCTTTATCAATCGCCGTTGCCCACGCCCACGGCGCCTTGGGTTTACGGGCATACAATTATATATTTTCGTCTGATTTCGTGATAACTGCGTACGCGCGAATCACTACATACGACACGTACAAAAAAGTACTTTCCTACTTATAGTGTTGAGGCACCTCACGAGAATAAATCCACCGTTTGGGTTTGAAAAGTCTTCTTGAAACGCGAAACCCGATTTCATCCGATTTTCACTCTACTTGTTACATCAGTGAAATTCGCGTCATCAGTGAAGTCCAAAAAATTGTGCTACCTCAATCAAAAAAAATAAAAATAAAATAAAATAAAAAAATGTCGCATATTGTAAAAATTAGAGTGACAATCGGGCGAAATCGGGCATTGCTGTTCGGTTTGCTGCCTGCTTCCCCACAGCACTCCCTTTGCTTTTTAGAAAGGAAAAATGGAGTACCTAGTTTACAAAAAGACCGGTTGGATCCTTCCTTAGTTTGGTTTAATTTGGACCTTTCGGAACTAAATCGCCCCAATATTAGGTCCTTTATCGTCGCAGGGGCTTGCCAAAGCGGTGGGCCAGAGGCGGTCGGAGGGGTATAGAGCAGAGAGGGGCGCGAGCTAGGGTCGGGACGAGCAAGGCGGGGTGGGGGCGGGCCTGAAGAGAGAGAACGTGACGTGAAACAATGGCGGGTTCGTGCCGTCGCCATGGAGACGCAACAATACACAACGCCAGTACACGTTTTTACATTTTCTCCTCGTCGCTATCTTTCTCGTGCCCATTCGTGCCTTTCTCTTTACACCTTGCTCCCCCCCACCCCGTGCGAACCCACATTTCTTCTAATTTCTAAGAATATCGGGTAAATCAAATTATTGTGACCTTTAATTCCTTGCCCTTGGCTACTCA